CTACAGACACTGAGACAGTCATACCGTAATCACTGTCTGTATGAATGAAAATCATCACCATGATTACGTAGTGAACTGTCTCGACGGTCGCTCCTATCGCTGGTCGGGCCTGGACATCCGACACCATGGATACCACTTTTTGGTTGCAAAGGACTAAAGTCTAAAGTCTGTAAAGGGACCGTGCACTCCTCTTAATTATTTTTGCCGACTATCCGCCAAAAAAATCTTTTCGTTTCACGTGTCAGACACGTCCGCGTACGACTCGCGTACCGGTACCTCGCTACCTTTCACGTCAAGCAATCTGTCAAGTGTCATGTGGCGTGAACAGAATAAATGTGGCTGGCCGCGTGCATGCTAACATGATTGAAGACTTGCAAAATAATTTAGTTTTTATACAAGTCCATGACATTCGATTCGCGTTGCAGTACAGTACAACTAGCAGCAGCTCGCCTGGACTTTAAGCTACAAAATTTCAAGTCTTCAATCATGTTTGCATGCACGCGGCCAGCCACATCTGTTCACGCCACATGACACTTGACAGATTGATTGCTTGACGTGAAAGGTACTCGTAGGTAGCGAGGTACATATATACGCGATCGCGAGTCGTACGCGGACGTGTCTGACACGTGAAACGAAAAGATTTTTTTGGCGGGTAGTCGGCAAAATTAAAGGGGAAGTTAAAGGGGAAGTTAAGGTGGCAGTCTGGGTTCGCGGCCCGACCGCATGAACACAGCCGTAACTTCCATAATAATTGATGAATTTTGCTCAAATCTTGACCACATACCCAGTGTATTTCACTAAGTCCAATGAAGTATAAATCAAGCTCACACATGGGAATCCGCAGACACAATAGTCAAATCTGCGATTATGCCGTACCACCAATACCTTAGACGCAATATGCAAACGCAGAAAGAAGCTGGGTAGAAACTGAGTGCTCCACAGGATTTCCTTCACATATACCTAGGTGCTAAGTGGAGCGGAATTTTGAAATCATATTCAGAACAAAGTACTCAAGCTGTCAAACAAAAATCATGCAATCGCGCAAAATTTAGGTCCTCGATCAGTAGCACTTTACTCAAAGCTACTAGACAAATATAAAAATCCATGACACTTAGCACCTTGATAAATGCTCACAGTTTCCAAAAATGTATGGTTTATGGGGTCTGTGACTTACAGGTTCTTTGCTACGCTGTCTAAGAGGTACGGGACTCAGTGGAAAATGGAGAAAAAAAGTGCTCTGTGCAAGTACAGATGGAGGTATGTCTGTCCAACTAGAACTTACTAGAACTTAGTCGAAGCCACCAGCTTCATATGTCAAACCTTCTTCCTCTTGCTGCTCATCCTGGATGCCCTTCCTGACCCTCCTTCGCTTCTTTCGTGACCTCTTCCCTTCTTCTGACTTCTTTCTGGCAGCATGTGCCTGTCTCTCACGGTCTAGCAGCTTGATGAGACGTGTCGTATGGTGTCCAGTAGGGAGGCCCATCTCGTCCAGAACGCGTTTCACTGCCACACCTCCATCATTGAACCAGGCCACGGCCAGGTAGACGCACATCTGGACAGTGGGAGCTGATGCAAAGCCTGTCTTTGGACACAACTGCCACACGAGTCCATTGAACGCTTCGTTGCGATTCTGCGTAGCACCCTTCTGGCAGCGCTCGAGCAAACTCCGGTCGGACAACCGAATGTAGACCGGCTTCAGTTCCTTCCATACTGCCTCTGGCAGGATATTGTGGTGGGCGTAGACATCACCACCTGCCTGTTGCTGCTGCCATCTACACCAGCTGTTAATTCCAGGCGGACAATACTGGTGCTGAGGTTTACTGTCGCTGGATGCACGATGCATGAGGGATGCCCATATGGCCCTGGCCATGGCTTGCAAGTCTCCGCTGTTGTTCCGCACAGCCATGCCATAGTAGGCTTGCAGCTTGTCGATCATGGCATCCGTGAGGCGACCACGTCCGCCTATAGTGCGCCCATCAGCAAGCTTCTTGCCCGCAAGGTTTTTCTTCAGCTTTCTTAGGCTGGTACCGATGCGTTTTTGAACGTGGCCGACACATTCCTCCTTGACTACAGGCACCTGGGGCCCATACGGACAAGCGTCACGCACAGCCTTAAAACTCTTGGTATCTCCATCACCAATGTAGGTGGTGTACCTCAGCTTGCGGCTCTCAAAGGACCTGGCCCACAGAGTCTTGGCGGCTGCACTCTCCATGGCAGGAGCTGATACAGTGGTGTTGACTGAGCAATCGTGTTCGGCAATCTGTCGATCATAGTCATCTTTGGTTAGCTCTCCCTTCTCTTTTCTAGACGCCAAGTGCGTGCACTTGTGGCAAAACTTTGAAAGCACTTCGCAGTCCACCACTTTGCCGACATCATATGCAATTATAGTGAAGGCTCCGAAGAGCGATGCGAATCCTCGGCGCATCCAGGTACCGTCATAGGAAGCAGCGATATCGCTACCCCCATCTGCTGCGGACACTGCTTTCTCAGCTGCCTCAGT